CTGTTGATTAATATTCTAAATCAGCTTCTGTATTTTGTATGGTTAGCTGCAAGATTTTTTTTCCATTTATTTACTTTTTCTATTTATTTATTTATTCAATTTCTATAGCTGCTCATCTCAATCCCATTGAGTGAGAATTCAAAATACAAATTGCACTATATTCATTCATTTTCTTTCAAATACACCAGACTTTTAATTTCTACAAATCCTACATGTTACTGAATATTGTTACACTATTTGTAAGGTGTAAGGAAAACAGCCTAGTTTTAAATATTGGAAAAACCAAAGAGATCATTGTCGATTTCAGAAAAGGCAGGCACAGCCACACTCCTCTGGGTATTAATGATTCACCTGTGGAGATGGTTACCAGCATCAAATTCCTGGGTGTGCAGTTAACAAATAGGCTGGCTTGGTCGCTCAACAGCGAGACACTGGTGAAGCGGGCACAGCAGCACCTGCATTTTCTGCATTGCATGAGAAAAGCTCATCTTCCTTTCCCTGTCCTTACCACTTTCTACAGAGGGATGATTGAGAACATCCTATCATACAACATCACAGTCTGGTTTGGAAGCATCACTGCTTCAGACAGGAAGGCGGTGCAGAGAATGGTGAGGATGGCTGAAAAGATCATTGGCAGTTCCCTCCCTTCCATCCAGGACATAGCATATAAGCATTGCTTGAGCAGGGTCCTCAAGATATTCTGGAACACTACATACCCTCTTCACGACCTGTTTTCCTTGTTATTTTCTGGGAGGAGGCTCCGTGGTATCCGAAGCAGAACATCCAGATTCACAGTTTCATTACATACAGTATTAACCTTGTGAACTCCCAAGCTTCCTCTTTCCGCTATGTATTCAAGATGGACAGTGATTAATATTTATATGTTACTTATATGTAAGGGTGTAGGTCTATACCTATGTTGTATATAGTATGTTTAAATGTGTGTTATGTATGTGTATGTGTTATGTATGTGTGTTATGTATGTGCTTTGAGAGCAAGCAACTAAATTTCATTTTTAATGTGTGCCATTGTGCCCACAGTAAAAAATGACAATAAAAGTTGTCTGTCTGTCTGTCTGTCTGTCTGTCTGTCTGTCTGTCTGTCTGTCTGTCTGTCTGTCTGTCTGTCTGTCTGTCTATCTATCTATCTGGTAAATACAGATCTCATCTCGTTAATAACATTCTAGCTGTAGGTTATGTTTGTCAGACTTTCGTTTTGTTAAAATTAGGATTATGAATATCTCAGTTCATTATTTTTAGTCAGCTAAGTATTAAATGGCTTTGTTATCAACTAAGTTAAAGGTGGGGGGGTGTTTTGTTTTCACCCTGAATATTGTTCACAGTTCGATTTGCCAGAATGAGCCACTGTGATCAGTTTTGCTCAAAAGTATGGTCAGAGTTTTAACATTCACATCCAGTTTCATTTTCAGGTATGTCAGACGTATATTTCACAATGCTATTAAGAACGTAGCATTATACAGCAATTCAGATTCTTAAAGTAGAATAGATAACAAATTTTATGAAATCATTATCCTAACTAGGTTGTATTTTAGTTATAATAAGGAGTCAGACTCAAGCCTTGATGGGACAAATTAAACATTACTTACTGAAGTTTTACTATTTTCAGTGATCCAATGGCTAAATTAAATTAATCTGGATTTATCCTAGACAATATTGTAGGCTTTTTGTTTGGTTTGGTTCTTTATTTTGTTCTGGGGTACAGTCGCACTGACTGTAATTAAGTGAGGTATAGTATCGTGTTTCCCCAAAAGTAAGACCTACCCCGAAAATAAGCACTAGTTTTGGGGTAAGGTGCATACCTAAAAATCAAGCTAGGGTGGGGGTGGAGCTTACAATTGCAGCCATGCCTCCCATGGATCAACACTTGCCTCGTCGGCCCACTTCTTCTGCGCCTGAAAGAGCAGCTTCATTCTGCAACTGAGAATGGAGCTCCGGCCTGCATTTCACCATCACACGCCTTTCCAGAAGGCATCTGTAGCTGAGAACCGAGCTCGGAGAAACACAGTACATGGCTTATCTCATTATTTTTCAAGAATTTCATTTCAAATATCTGTCAGAGACAAACTGACTTCATAATCATAACCAACACAATTAATATATATTATTAAATTTACCAGGTGGTAAACCTCATACATAGACGTATCTTGAGTAGATATTAGGGCTGAGTAAATTTTTGGAAAAAAATGTTCTGCAACTGGAATGGAAACTCTGAAAATGTATAGAGCTGCATCATAGGCAAGACATGTGCAGTTATTTCAGTAGATGCTACTGACTTTCTTTGTATCTGCATGTTCATCCATTTTGCTGAATATGCAAAAATAGCTGGAAACAGCTTCCAACCCAGAAGTACAAGCTTTAGAAGTACCGCAGTTAGAAAGAGATGCTACGCGTGCATTCCCATATGTTGCAAAGCATCTCTTTCAAAGGATTTGTACAGCTCTATTAAATATGAATTTATTCTCCTCTACATTTGGAATTACGTGCAGATCTTGGATAATATTCTCTTTGGATCTTCTGAAGTATGTGGTAGCATCACAAAGGTTTCATGTAATGACCTGTTCCTAACATCATGCAGATGATATAAAAAAGAAAGTGTTGGCTTTGATTATCAAAATTAAGGAACTCTATTTAAGTGTTGTTTACTGCTCTATAAATTCTCTAGGTACCTTAACCATATATGTGTATTCTGTTGAGAAATCTCATGAACTGCTTTTAATAAAGGTAATGCTTGACTTACAACCATTTGTTTAGTGACTATTTGAAGTTACAATGACACTGAAAAAAGTGACTTATATAAATGGTCCTCATACTTTCAACTATCGCAGCATCCCCTCAGTCAGATGATCAAAATTCAGGCACTTGGCAATTGGCATGTATATATTACAGTTTCAGTGTCCCAGGGTCATGTGATCACCATTGGCGACCTTCCCAGCCAAAGTCAATGTGGGAAGCTGGATGTGCTTAATGGCCACATGATTCATTTAATAACAGCAATTATGCTCTTAACAACCATGGCAAAAAAAGTTTATGAACTTGGGTACAACTCATCTAACAACCACCTTGCTTAGCAATGGAAATTCTGATCCCAATTGTGGTAGTTTGTATAGCACTTTGGTTAAGATATGGTATCTCATGTTGTTGCTACTAGTATTGTTGCTGTTGTTTCACCGTTCAGTTGTTTCCTATTCTTGATGACTTTATAGGCAAGTGCTTTCCATGTTTCCCTGTCAAGCACAGCTTCTTTCAGTTGTTGAATGTTCATCTTTGTATCAGATTAGATCAGAAAGATGGACAGTGATTAATATTTATATGTATTTATATGTAATGGTGTAGGTATATACATATGTATGTATATAGCATGTTTATATGTGTGTTGTGTATGTACACTTTTGAGAGCAGGTAGCAGAATTTCATTTTTAATGTGTGCCAGTGTGCCCACAGTAAAAAATGACAATAAAGGTTATCTATCATCTAACTTTTGATGGTATCAAGCCAGTGTATTCTTTGCTTGCCCCTTCTTCTTGTTCCACTAACCCATGGGTGTCAAACTCAATTGCAGAGCCGGGGTGGGCATGGTCTGCGTGTGACGCATCCGGCCCGTGGGCCGCCAGTTTGACACCCCTGCACTAACCATTCCTAGCATCATTGACTTCTTCAATGCATTTGCATTAGAATTAGTTTTTTAATACTTAGTATTAACTATTTAATACTAAGTATTAAAAAACTAATTCTAATGCAAATGCATTAGTATTAACTATTTAATACTACTTAAATTAAGTATTTTAATCGTATTCAGTTAAATACTGTTAATACTAATACTTTAGTATTAGCTATTAGTAAGTTTCTTTTTAATATATTTCTACAATTTATTGGTTTACAAAAAGAAGATTTAAAGAGGCATATCTCTATTATACAGTGAAATGTACAGTATTTTTTAGATGGTAGAATATACATTGAATCACTTTCTTCACAATTTAGTCTATATGCTATCTTCATCTAAACATTTAGGGAAAAATAAAGCCTCAGGATCAGTTGCCCCATTAAACAAAGTTAATGGGATAACTTAGACTGCAAATGCTGGGAAGGGAACTTAATAAAAATCCCTTAAGTCATTTGCTGTCTTCAGATGTGGTGGATATTATTTTATTATTGGATTTTATTATTATTTATTATTTATTATTAGTAAGACCTGTTTACTATGTGAATGGAAGACTTCTTTTCTTTTCATATTTCATATTTGGGTGTAGAATTTGGAAAGAAGTCAGTTTTTGTCATACCATCACCTGTCCTGAAATCTCAGTGATTCTTATGTTATGACGCCTTTCTTAGTCTGGTGCTCCCAAGGACACAATTTCCATAAATGCTCACCAGTCAATTCAGTTAAATGCAGAGTAATCTTTGCCATTGCATACTGTATATATGCTTTCAAAAACGCACATTGAATTGGTTTTGATAGCTGTTTATACTTGATTTGTAACTTTTAGGTTGTATGGAATCCAGTGAATTAAATAGCTTTCAATCTGCTGTCTGAGGGATATTGACATGCAACAAATTACAAAGAATAAATTACAAAATTATCTTATTTACTAATAATCATTCTGAATATTTCCTGTCATATAACTTTAAATTTGATGTTTGTCTATTTTATTAAAATTAATTTTGGGTTTGTAAATATATCTTTATATTATCTTCTCTTGGGGAATTTGACCATATTTATTCATCCAAAGTATCTCTAGTGTCTCTAATTTAGAAACTTATTGTATAATGTATTGTATAAGGGAAAAGTAGCATTTAGACAAACTAGTTATCCATAACATAAACATATGCAGTGCACAACATCAATTTTGTGTCAAAAACAGCAGGAAATAACTCCCAAAATGAGCATCCAGCCATTTCTATTTTGAAAAGAATAAATGGTAAGCCAGCAAATAAATGGAACTATTTTTTTTTTAAATGCTTCTTTTTCTCTTTCTTAAATAGATCAAAAAGTATTTGGAACTTGAACCACTTGCACGAGGGAAACGTTGGATACTTAAACCCTGTTCCTTGGATGACATGGAGTCAGTAAAAGACAGCTTTGGCTTCCTGATAAATTTACTAGAAGACAGAGATCTTGAGCCTTCAAGGATGTGAAGAAAACAAGAATGGCTCTCAGATAACATTGTACCTGTTTGTCTCTCAGTGAATTATGGTTTGGTATACAGAAGGATGTGTTAGAGCTTGTAATAAATATATTTTTGCATTAATCCCAGAAAGTCTGTTTATAAATTCTGTGAATCAGATTTATGATTATTTTCATTAATGACGCCTGTACTACTGAATCGTGAATTCTTCTTATTTACCAACAAATCAGTTTACTGTATGAGAGTTTCCTGACCTGTAATAGCCATAATGCAGAATTTTGTTGTACGGGCAAAGTTTAAATCTATCTGTAAATGGAAACCCAAAGTTTTTTGAAAATGTAGTTGTTGAGAACCAGACTACATTTTGAAACCAAGGAATTCATTTTGATGCAAAGAACACCAAACTTTTCAAAGAATATATCCCACCTCCACTTTTTAACAATTACAAATTGATTTTTTTTTAAAAAAAACCCATTAATTTAGTAGGAAGTATGGCAAAAACATCATTCATCAAACAATGAAAATATCAGTATTTTGTTAGTATTTGGAAGCCTCAAGTGCAAATTGCCTTTGTAAATTAAAATTAAGTTGATAATTGTGTAAAATGATGAAATGGAGGCTACCTTGTAGTTAAAAACGAGAACAATAAGCAAGATTAAATAATCACTGGATGTATTATTCTTCATGACTAGTGTTATGCTAGAGTTCCTAGCCTTTGGAATTATTAAAAAAAATTCAGTGTCTCTGAATTATATTCGAACGTCTACTGTCTATATTTTTTAAATACCCCTATTTTCAGGGGCTTAGATTTCTTTTAAATTTCATTCCAGACTAAATATTGTAGAAAAAAGCTTTTCTTTCTGAGAATAGAAAATTTTGTTGTTTTTATACATGACAACACTCCAAGAATGTATCAATCTTCCAGTTTTGCTTATTTTGGAAGAATGCTTCAAAATTTAAAACTGCCTTGTTCATAATACAGCACTGAATTGCTCTTAAGTTGAATTTGTATATTAGATATTAGAATCCTTGATCAAAACTAGAGTGGAACAGGTCTTGAGATACTGCAAGATTTGGTTTTGTTTCCTCATTTTTGGCTTGATTTTTCTTTAATTTTAAAAGACAATTGAAGAAAGAAATCACTTGCAAATAATGCCATATTTACATAATTTACACCTGTACATGATTGAGAGTTAAAAGTTGTAGCATGTGAGTTCTTCTATAAATTTGCTTGTTAAAAACATTTATACCCTCCCCCCCAATCATTAGATATAGGGGAAACGGCCAGTTTTACTTTTGATTATTCCTGATGCCACATGTATATAATTATATGTATATATTAGTAGTGGTGAGATTATGTAGAAATTAAAGTAGACCAAAAACTAAGAATTGTAATGCTAATTGATTTTTTGACATCACCACTTTTTCCATCCTGCAATGCCATTTCTATAGTGATAGGCATTTTGAATTATACAGAATAATGCTTGTTTGGAAGGCATATGGCAGTATACAAATTAAATAAATAGGTCCTTTCAGTTCATATTTTATAACTCTTTAGATCCATCACTAGAGACTAAGATTATATATGAATGTGATAATTTTCATTGATTCAAATCATTCTTCGTTTACATTGGCAAAAAAAATCCGTTTATATAAATATGATTAAAATCATTTAAGAGGAAACAATGGATCTAACTCTGTAACAGTAATTGGACCCTCTTTGTGTCTTTAAAAGAATGCCATGACCAGCAGATGAGAGTCAAAAAACTTTGCCACCTCTAGTCATGAATTTACCCCTGATCTAGTTAAAAACTGATAAAAGAAAGTTATTTAGGAGCAAAAAAAGTATATAGATCCTTTGTAATATCATTTATAGACTAGGATTCTATTCCTAACTATAATTAGGAGTGAGCAATGTGGAGTTTTCTTATGATTAACATATATACAGTCCAGCTGCAGAACTTTTATGAAAATACATTTTACAAAAAATATTTCTCTTAAGAATTTTCATCAAAAATGTTTGACTTCTGTTCTACTTGATAAAAAAAGATACTTCAAATCTGCTACGTGACTTCAGATCATCCCTTTCATTTTTAATGTCTACTGGATTCCATTTTGGAGTAGCAGTTAATATTGTAACATTTTTGTATTCTTAAACAGCTCACATTTCCTAAAATATATATATATAAAAGCATGACCTACTTAAAGTGTTCTTGAATGTATATTAATCAGTAAGCGGTTTTTATTCTGCTCTATTCCCCTCCCCACCTGATCTGGGACTCCATTATAAATGACATAAATTTCCCCTTCCATATTCTAGCTCACACTGCTGAGAAAAATTCATCAGTACTGAATACTCCTGCTTTGCTTTAATTGAGGAAGTTGTGGTGCTGCACTCTTCCAGGCATCTGTTAAATTACTTTCTGGGTGCGCTTGTGAGGGTGCCGGTGCCCGTGTTGGGCTTTTTCTCAGACTGATGACTGTCTGCAGCACTTGAGCAGTAAGAATGAAAACACGATCAATCAGTATCCCACTGCAGCTGTTTGGACAGGTTTCTGCCAGGTTCGAATGCTTTACAACAGTCAGTGGCTCCTTTTGTCTGCTCAGAGTGTTGCTTGATGTTTATATCGTGTGCTCATATTCCCCCAAAGTGCTTACATTTTAAAACTTTTAATGTGTTCAGTGTTTTTGCCTGTCCCGTATAATGTGCCTCTGCCACATGTCTGCAATTACATATTCAAATACTGTAACCCAATGTATGTGTTGTATTATTGAGCTTCTTGCATTTCATTATTTATAGAGGTTAATAGATTTTTGTACTTATCTAGTTAACCCAGATGCCCCTTTTTTGTAACAGCAAGTAATTTATATTATAAAGATTTGTATCTCACTGTACTTAAAAACAATGATAGCTAACTCTCCATATATCCCTGACTTTATACTAAAATACAGCATTGTTAATAAATTTCAGGCAGAAAACTGCCATGCAGAAAGAACTGTTTTGTGATTTATATAGTTTACACTAACCACAATGACAATAAATGCTGTGTAGAACATTTAAGTATGTTATGTTTTAAATTGGGATTCATATTCAAGAATGTGTTTGGGATGGTTATCCATATCCACAAATGTTTTGAAAGCACCCAGCCATTCCATGAAATGCAGAATACAGAAGCACGTTTCAGTAGATACCATACAATAATTACCCAGTTACAATAATCTAGACATCAAATTAAAGGCAATGCTTAACACTAGCAAGAAAAGGAAATACTCTACCTTAGTCTTTCCCAAACCAGTGCTCTCTAGATCAGAACCAGTATAGAGCTGGAGGGACCTTGGAGGTCTTCTAGTCCAGCCCCCTGCTCAAGCAGGAGACCCTATACATTTCAGACAAGTGGCTGTCCAACCTCTTCTTAAAAATCTCTAGTGATGAAATACCCCCAATGTCTGAAGGCAAGCTGTTCCACTGGTTAATTGTCCTCACTGTTAGGAAGTTTCTTCTTAATTCCAGGTTGCTTCTCTCCTTGATTAGTTTCCATCCATTGTTTCTTGTCTTGCATGCCTTCAGGTGCTTTGGAAAATAAATTGACCCTTCCTCCTTGTGGCAGCCTCTCAAATACTGGAATACCGCTATCATGTCCCTCCTTGTCCTTTTCTTTAGACTGGCCATACCCAAATCCTGCAACCGTTCTTCATATGTTTTAGTCTCCAGGCCTTTAATCATCTTAGTCACTCTTCTTTTCCCTTTTTTCTCAACATCTTTTTTGTACTGTGGTGACCAAAACTGGATGCAGTATTCCAGGTGTGGCCTTACTAAAGCTTTATAAAGTGGTACTTCAAATGATTTTGATTCTATGCCTCTGTTTATACAACCAAGGAGAGTGTTGCCACCGCACACTGCTGGCTCATGTTTAAGTGATTGTCCAGTAGGACTCCAAAGTCCCTCTCACATTTACTGTTTTGAGCCAGGTTTTGCCTAATCTATACTTGTACCTTTGGTGTTTCCTGCCCTGGTTTAAAACCTTGCTTTTCTCCACATTAAATATCATTTTGTTGGATAGGGCCCATTGTTCAAGTCCATCAAGATCTTTTTGGATCCTGAGCTTGTCTTCTGGGATGTGGTTTTTCCTTCCAGCTTAGTGTCATCTGTAAATTTGATGAGTTCCCCTTCTATTCCCTCATCTTAGTCATTTATGAAGATATTGAAGAGTACTGGTCCTAAGACAGAACCTTGTGCTACCCCACTGCTTACTTCCCTCCATGTACAGTAGTTGTAGTACCATTAAGGACTATGATTTGTCCAGCTCATCCATTATACACTGGAATACAACAGCCAATAAATCTTATAGAATGATAGATAGAATCTCAATCAGAAATTATATTTGATCTTGCAGAATCCACATGGATTGTCAGTGTTCATGTTTGGCTGTTTGTATTTCCCCAATAAATAAAATGGTTTCTTCTCCCATGGAAAATAAATATGCTTCAGTGCTTAAGTTGCCTGACTTAAAAGTTTGTAGACTTTTTTCCTCAAAATATACAGTAAGTGTTCTCAAAATTGTTTTGAAATACAAAAGATGCCTAATTGCAACTTTCAGCATTACAGCCACTTGAGGAACATCAACAAGTTATCAATGGCCAGAATCTAAAGAGCTTTTTTTCCCCTTTTGAAATATCCCCAATGGAATATTTGATGCATTTTAAAGAGGTTCATTCAGGAAGTCTTTTTCAAATTTCTCTTCATAGAAAAAGAAATTTGCTATGTAACATAGGAAGCTACTCTATAAGAAAAAGATTGTTATTACTTATGAGCTTATGGAGTCTATGAAGACTGGCCAATGATATATTCAAAATCAGTCACTATTTCCATATGCTAATATTTGTTTTATACAGTAAATATAGGAACTTAAAAGGGGGCATATAGTGAAAGTGAAAGATAGTACATTTCACTAATGTTTCCAATGAAAAGAGGAGTAAGAGACATTTGTCATACTGTCTGTATTGTAATTCTAAATGATACAGTTCTGGTGTGAGAAAGATTTCACTATGATTCAGTTTTGTAGGGGGTTTTTTTGTTCTGAATGTGTATCTAGATTTTTGTATTCTCTTTCCAATGACTGAGTTTTATATCTCATCTGGCAAATATTTCTCACACTGAAAATTGCTTTCTCCTCAATAAAATGCCCAGCCATAGTCTACCTGTATCTAAATTGATCAGCTGATAATATACTCCATCTGCAAATAAATATATTAAAAATGTGTAAATTTTTCTTTTACAAATCATTTCATATAATGTTGAAGGTGTCAATGGTCCCCACCAGACTATTTTAACCCGATGAATTTGCTCACTAGGAATGCTTCACTGACTTGCTTCCCTACCTTTAAAAGTAATGAGTATGACCTTAGTGTGACAGTAAATAAGGTAACATACGGCTGCTAAAATAATGACATGCATTAACGGTATAAAGAATGTTTACTCTGCATTCCTATCTTTTAGTGTCCACAATTAACCTGCTCCACAGCTGCAAAAATAATTCTGGCCAACAGTGATAAATTGACAACACTTCTCTCCATGGATGTGGCAACAATATTTATAGAAGTTACTACAAACAAATGTGTACTAAGACATAGTGACATGTTTTGCTAATTTTAGGAGCAGGGTTGTGCCATGAGTACAAGGTATCTATGCTCTTTTAGTTAAAAACAAATTCATTCCCATGTTATTAAAATTGGAAGATTCAGTAAGGTTGACTTGCTAAAAGTTTGCAGTTTTTTTCT